GACTGGAGATCCGCCGATTAACAGAGCACCCCGATATCGCGCGGATCCTGTTGAAATTGTTCACAAGGAGTTTACATGGACTGCGCGTGTTCGTGTTTCCGATCTATATGCTCGCGCCGCTCACTCGTTCCAAACCACCCTCCGCTCCGACCGTTTGTTCAGGGAAATTATTCAAAATTCCACCTCTGCGATGATTCGTTATTCAAGAAATTTATCGGTGTCGCGAGAGCGTTGAAATTCGACCTGGAATAATAATTATATTTACCAGCGGGATAACGATATGAATCACGCACCAAAACTCCTCCTCCTTTCCTCTGCACTCTGACTCAGACTCGCTTAATACCGACTCGCAACACTGATTCCTCACTGACTCTCAACCGACTCCTAACCGCACGCGTATTTTCCCCGCCATTTATTCTCGCAAGCGTGCATTCTACTGTCTCCGTTTCTCTATCTCTTTCAATCGACATAGCCATTTGCGAAAGACATTCGCACGCGACTGCCCGAAAGCTCGGCGACCATTTTCGTTCTAATCTCGACTGCTCTTTCCTCTCGCGTCTAGCATCAACTGCTCTTTATTCGCTTGCCACTGACTCCGCGCGAATTCTATCGCTTCCACGGGACACTATTTCAAGAAGATGGCCACCTCCGGCGAAGTGGCAATTTCCAAAGTACACGGTACGCCGGGGTTCGTGGCCGACCGGTCACGAGATGACATCTCGTGCTCGCGTCAACAAGATTCACCGCCGGCCTCCATTGTGTTCCCCGACCGCAAAATGACCCGCGTCAATCGCCGTCCGCCGTCATCCGCCGTCATCCGCCATCGTCGTCATGGCGGCCCGGCGCTCGATTCAAAACGACGTGGCACCGACACGCGGCTAGACAATCGCGACCGTCCGACCGGAATTTTTGATAAATGTCGCGTTTCGCCTCGCCTGCACGACGTAGCTAGGTGTTTCAAAGGAGAAGCGGAGCTATAACGGGAGAATCGGGACGGCGAGTTATCCGTCGCCTCTTGTTAAGAGCGATGCCAGCGAGCTGCGATCAAAGGGAGCATTCCTTCGAGGCAGGAATCTACGGAATTGCTTCCCGGACCCGGTGACAACCGGAGTGTGACGATTCCGCGAGGAAATTAGCGGCTACGATACGTCGTCGACGACTATACGTCGACGTCGACGCTACATTTCGCCGCGATGATACACGCGTCGTCGCGCCACGCTGCGAGCGCGAGAAGAATTCCGCGCTTCTCCGATTACCGGCTTTAAAAACACGCAGAGGGTTCACACCGGTAACCGTAGGGAGAGGTTTATGGATTCGAGCTGTCCTTGCATCGCGTGTTCCACGATTGATCGCGTTTTTTGCAAATTCTGAGGCCTTTCGTTTAATTTTTATAAATCACGAACTCGCGGTTCCGTTTTACGGTTTCGGGAAGCGTTTGTCGGATTCTGACGCCCGAAGTTCAGGCACCGAATAATTTGTCCACTTCTATGTTTGCACTCGTGTAACCGTTGTTCAAATATCGTACAAATTTTCGACGGAATTAACGGTATGTTCTCAGGCAGTAAAAACGAGCGAACGACCTTACCGCAAACATACGAATCCTCGAAAGTGTACTTTCACGTGCGATTGTCTCCAAGGTAGATACGGAGGTGAGAATATGTATGAGAAGTTATAGATAATCCTATTAGTCTGGACTTACGCACTTGTAATCGTCTTATCTACGTACTAGATGAAAGATAGGTAATTGTTCCTCTTGACTTATAGGAGATTTATCTGGTGGAACGATCTTTCGGAAAAATTCCAATTTTAAATTTATCCTATACTGATTTCTGTCGAGCAGTTCTAGGAATATTTTCAATAATTTTATTTTAATTAGATTTTCGGTAATTAATTAATATATGCCGTGAAGGATGGAGACGTGCATAAAAATACAATCCTGGATGACATTTTGTCGTGGAATATTTTCAAATGTGAAATATTATCTAAATTTGATCGAACGACCTGACAAGATTATTCTCGGGCCATAGTTCCTATTGGCTGCAGGAAATATCGAGAAAGTCTCACGGTTCGGGTTAAAAATAAGTCCGTCGTGCGCAATGATTTCGGAGCCGTTCATAAATTATATCATCGGGCCGAAGAATGCAAATAGACGATAAGAGACGAAACGGTGGGCGGTTTTTCCACGGGCTTGCCGAAGATTGCATACGTCAGTGAGAACATCCAGTACATAAATATTCAGATCCCAGGAGCAGAGGAAAAAGCATTACGACCGCGGCTGTTCTTCGTTTTCGTTTTTACCTTCACCCTCCTTTTTCCTCTTCCCTTTTATTATTTTCCTCCTGTTTGCCACCGTACCAAGCGAAACGAAGAGTAATTACGAAAGTAACTACGAGACTTTAAATACCCTCGAAGGATTCTTTTCGCCGAAGGGAGCTCCGCGCGCAGATAAAAGGAGAAGCTCTCCCCCTCGCAATTAAAGTATTTATTACCCGACAACGATGGTAGAAAACGAAATACACGACGGATGACGCGTCGGGATAGCACCGACTTGCAGCTTTTTCCCATCGGAGTCAATTTTAAATAAGGAAGCACCGCAAAGATTGTGTTCTTCGCTGCTGGTGGATTCAATTCTGCGCGCGTAAGGAGAAACGGACAGTCGTGGACGGACCAGACGGGACCGAATTCCTGTAGAAATTATTTTCGAAATATTTCTATCACAATTATAATTACACTAGAAATATTTCTGCTATGTTCGTATAATTTTATCAATCCTATTATTAGAGTTAAATTTTACCTGTGTATTATAGAGAGAGAGAGAGAGATTCGATGGACTTTTAACGGGGCATAGGAACGATATTGCGAGAGGGTGGAATTTCGAGAAACAGGTTCAACGTCTTAGGGGTAGTGCAAGAAGCTCTTTGAGGGAACTATAGAGGAAGGTAATGTACGAGTAACCGAGTTTCCATTCACAGTGATCGATCAAAGTCCAGGCCAAGCACGCTCGTACTCCGACGTTTCTTGGCTTGGCTTTTAGTGTTTCGTATACATTATGATGATAATATATCGCTCCATTTACGTCCGATACTTGGCTCATAATCCGGCGGGTTCAATATCCAAGTATTCATACCTAACTCTATCAATCTATAACACCGATATTTCCCCATTAATCATATCTTTGCGCGAAACTTTTAGCCTAACCGGGCAAGAAAATTTCGCTCTAATTTACGAATTTCTGCGGATTAAGTGTAAAACCATTAAATCCAGTCTAAACGATTAACTTTGTGGGTTTTATACGTGACTATTTTTGGTAATACTAATTTTAGTTTGCACCTTTTGAAAAATGTAAATTTATTTTATACATAAATAAGTAATTGCATGTACCTATTTATTTCCATCGTATCAGATTAATTATTGCTATATATCAACGTCGTAAATGTCATTGTAAATTAAAACGTTATACGTAATATATTTTCCTTTTCGAGATACCGGTCATTTAAGATAACTTCTATAATTATTCCGAATAAATATATTCGGTGACCTCGCATAATTTTTTCGTGAACGTGATATTAATTGCAGTAGCAGGTCTAGCATCGAGGAATTATTTCGTAATACTAATACTAAACGCAACTATTTTTGGTGATACTAATTTCAGTTTGCACCTTTTGCAAAATGTAAATTTATTTTATACATAAATAAATAAATAATTGCACGTACCTATTTATTTCCATTCTATCAGATTAACTGTTGCTATATATCTATGTCATAAATGTCATTGTAAATTAATAGGTTATACGTAATATATTTTCATTTTCAAGATATTGATCATTTAAGATACCGAATTTCTATAATTCTTCGGATTAACCCTTTGTACTCCGAATTATTTTTCAATTTTGTTGCCAATAACCCCCACTTTTGATTTGAAATTTACTTCACAGGATAGTTCCTCGATTGCTACTTACTTCAAAGAATTTTATTTACTGATTATATTAAGTATAGTTATTCATATATTTTGAATTTAAGTAATTGAAGCAGTTACTTATTTTCTGTTTTCCTGTTCAGTAAATAAAGAATCAAAAAACTTCGGGTGTAACTCGACATAGGAGTTCTTGTGATAAAAATTGATGTCGAGTCACACTCGACAAGGGAGTGCAAAGGATTAAATATTCGGTGAATTTGCATAATTTTTTCGTGAACGTGATATTAGTTGCAGTGGCAGTTCTAGCATTATTTCGCGATTTATTCCAACATTATCGCGACATCGGCTCGAATATCGTTGGCAAGCCAAACATCCTCTTTGCATTCGCCATAGAAGTCAGTGGACACCTGTCGACGTTACTTCCGTCGCATTTAGATTCATACGCGTTGTGCAGTCGCTCACAGCGATTTTCGCGCACGCGTGTGCACGATGATTTTATTATACGTGGTAATCGAATAAATTTGGCCAGTGTCGATCAACGTTTTTGTAAGCATCGTCGAATAATTTACGTCGATGACGGCCGTCACGAGTGAGGGGGTTGCGGGGTCAGCCGATTCGTGAAAGCCACGACGCGAGCGCGGGATTACAATTGAAATTCTCTATTTCGTTCATCCGCCGAGTTCTCCACCGTTCTCGCGTCCCAAGCGTCCTCGACTTGAACGTGCTTCAGCGTGAAAATCTTCGGGGAATCTATTATTCGCAAGAGCCGCGTTGCGTTTGATTTACACGCTTGGAAATTCTCGCTCGATGACCGTTGCCCGCGTGTCATCCGCAGCGCACGCGAATAATAATTGTGTGTTAACGGATAAATTCGAGGACGTTCCACCCAGCGGAATTATTAAAATACACGCCGAAAAGGGGACGAGAGGATGCTACGAATTTGAAATAACAAATTCTGCGATTGCAACTTGGCAGGGAAAAATTCGTAATTTTGCAGACAAATGCGTGTATATTTGTTAGTAGCAAACTGTGATAGATTCTTGTAAGATTTTATGAAAGAGGGTGTATCGAGGGTAGTTCTCCATCAGATGGAAAACGTGTGACACTTGTATTCCTGTACGGATGGACTGAACCAGCGAAGTTTCTTCCTCGTGCACGGACAACGAGCTCCCTTATTTTGTTTTTCCTGTTCCTCCAACTCCGCGATAGCCTTCGGTTTGCCCAGGGAGACATTGAACGATTTCTTCACCACCGACGACGAGAGATAGGGGTGAATCTGAGAGGGATGAAATTTTTCGTTGAATTAAATTTTTAATATCATGCATACTCATTAATTAATGTACTTTTTCAATATTAAAACACAGTCATTTCCATGAGCTAAGAGTTAAAATACTCGATCGATGAACGAATTCGTAAATTATAATTTTCGCACATCAAAGTCAATTAATTCTTTGGGGCACAGTGGGATTGACCCTTTGCACTCGACGATCTTTTCGTTACACAAACATAGTAATCCGAAGACTTTCTGCCATGAAGTCGACGATATTTTCAAAATGGAAAATAAGAAGTGCAAATTAATTGCAAGACGTAGAATTATTTTACCTCGATATTCTACGCGTCGTTTGGGCAATTTTAAATTCGAGATATTAATTAACAATGATCTTTAGAATCTAATTAAATGGCGACTGGAATGCGCCTCTCGAGTGCAAAGGGTTAAAAGTGTCCTACCTTTTTGAGACATCGTAATGCATGGGACATTTTTATATTTCGTCTTATTTACGTAAAGCAGTTGGTAATACCTTCGACAAATGTTATAAACGTATTCGTTCGTGTTGGCAACATTCAATATGCCAGTACAGGTTCATCAATTGTTGCAAGCGGAAGGTTTATCGCGACAATCTTCTTTTCCCAGTTTTATGTTTTTACATTATGCAATTCCCTTATTAGTAAAAATATACCAATTTTGTTTCATTTAAAACGCAATAAAATTTCTGTGTAACATGGTCTATTTTATTATCTAAAATCCTGTGCCGCAAAGAGATATACGTGTAATCAATTCTTCAATATCTTTTTCGATTCGATAATTCGAAGCCTATTTTTTAATTTTTTATCCACCGGACACTTGGTCATTCGTGTCAACTTAATGACTTATTCACCCAGAAATTTTCTATCTTCCATGCTTCAATCTCCTTCCACATCCTTGTATCCTATATCGCATATATATTTGTGATATCGATCATCTGCGATTCCGTGTGAAATTTTTATAAAATTGACATAGCGAACAGCCCAAGTAACGAAACATATTAAGCGCAATAAAATTTTTGTGCAACGTGGGTCTATTTTGTTATCTGAAATCCTATGCTGCAGAGTTAACGTGCGGTACAGGTTCATCCATACCCTAGATAAGGTTTATTCCTGAAATAATTCTAACCATTTAATATGTTCGTAATGGTACCTCGTAACATGATCATACACGAACCTTCCAATCAGCGAAATTAAGGAGTAAAATCGGAATTCCGCCTGTAACCACTGGCGCAAAGACAAATCGGAAGATCATACATACGCAGCGTGGAAGAGGAAACATATCTTTCCATTCCGCAACGGAATACGTACGTGGTAGACAAGCAGCGGGACGATACAATTTTCCAAACTTTACATTCACGGGACCACCATTCCCTCGACGCATTCATCTCGCCGGTCCGCGCGAAAGACGTGCAGCGCAGGAAAAAGGAGGACTTCCGTTTCAATTCGGGCTATTTACGAAGCCGGTCCGTGCCCCGTGGAACCACGTCGGACAGAGGTAATACAGACCGACGTTGGCCCATCTAACCATCTCGTAACGCGCGGCTCATACATCACCATCTGAAGTATCCGGTATTATTCCCGCGCGCGCACCGAGCACGCAATATCCTGGCCCGTGACAACAAAGTAAATACCGGTATACGTGAACCGACAGAACGGAATAGAAATTTCGACGTGAAAATACGCGAGCCATCCACCAAGCTCCAGTTTCGATTTTCGTTTCGTTGTTGCACCGTTGTTCCGTGAAAACAACGGCCCCGAAATCGTCCGCGAAACGACCGTTTCCCTCTTCGCGCAGTGCTCGTTCCATCCAACCAGCTTCGTTGATTTAGCCCAGGGAAACTTACGCAATAGCGATCCGGTGCCGGGGTGACCGGTGTGTCATCTATCGGTCGGGATCGAGGTATCACACCACCCTTCGCGTTCTCCGATATGTCGCCGGACACGTCGTAGTAGGTCGGATCTAGAAAATGGTTCGATGATTAAGAAAGGATTTTTCTGATATATTCGACGGGTGTACCTGGCAAGTCCTTGTCGTCGCGCGCAATCTGTAGCCGTCGAACGCTCCTCGTCCCGAAGGGAGCAGCCATTCGGGGGCAAAGGAAGTCGCATTTATCACGATTTGCCTTGAAAGCCGTTAAGACCTCGTAAGCTCCAGGATCGGGAGCCGTCTGCAAATATTGAATAATACGGGTTCGTAATTTTTCGAAATCGCAGAGTAATGGCGCCCCTCGAGCATTGATTAGATTTGCACGGATGTCGACTCGTTTCGTAGACTTTCCCATCTTCGTCGACGAGGTAGAGGGTATATATAGAGAGAGATATCGTATAAAAGAACAATTCGAGCATTGTTCGTTTTAAAAGTACAGGGCTATGGAATACAAGAAATTCCCGATAATCGTCCGATAATGTAAAGCATTTCACGGGCATTTGCTCGCGAAAGCGGCGACCGTTTCTTCTTGCCATTCGTCGAGTTGTCTTTGCCGGGTTCCACGGGTAATCGATTACACTCGAGTCAGCAAGCATAAATCCATTCGTTTCCGGTATTTGATCAGTGCTCGTCAATTAAGCCGCTCTCGTCGACAACTCGATACGGCCCTGGACGACAACGGTCGATCTCTTGAGATTCAGAAATGAATACTAAACGTCGATATTCCTGACGATCCGCGTTTTGCGTTTCGAGGGTGGATAGACGCACCGTGCCAGGGATTGGCTCGAATTTCCGGCTCAGCGAACCGGAAGTGATTTCTCCGGGCTACGTCGGCCACGCGCCGCTACGTGGAAATGACCTCCAGAGCATGGCAGGACGTCATTTCCGCCGCTGTCGAGTTACGACGCTTCTCTACGTTATGTAAATACCGTCGTACCCGAATCTCAACGATGTCGTCGTCGTCGTCGTCGTCGTCGTCCTCGTCGTCTTCTCTCCCCGACGTCCTTATCCGGCGATCGTAAGAATTCGCGACGACACCTTCTTCCTGCGTTTTATCGTCGCGTCGAGATAATTCCGCGCGACAAAAGCGACGTATAACTTCAGCGCTCGTATAAAGCGTACCTCTTATCCTCTCGAAATCGACTTTCAACGATGTCGTTGCGAATTTATTAAAATTACCATAGCCTGTCTCCGTCGCTCTTTACATCGATACCACGAGCATCTCTGATCCCGAGGTAATTGCGGAAGCAGGTGAACCGATCGGAAACCACTAGCAACGATTTCGTCGTGTTGCCTGGGAAAAACGGCGTTTAATGAAATTTCTGCGTGTCCACCTGTCAAACGCGAACTTGAAGCCGCTCTTCAAAAGGCGGCTCTCACAGAAGGATTCCACCTTTAAGCGGCGAGGAACGCGATGCCGACCTCAAAGGAGATGTCAGCGTGCTGCGACAGAGGCAGCAACGCGCGTTGTTCCGGCTGTGTCCCGTTCTATCCTGGCCTATCTGCGGCTACACCGTCGAATCCGCCTCGACGGTCTCTCGATTAACGGGCAAATTGGATCCTGGTCTCGAACCGCCCCGGGTACAGATGCATCGCTTCGATCCGCCGCCATTAATTTCGTCTCGACCTCTCCTGATTACCTTGCGCTCCGAGGATTACCTGGACCCCGGCTAGTTCACGGCTCCCCGGCCCGACGCGAAAGAATCCTCCGGTTCCGGTCTCGCCGCAGACTTATCGTCACCACTGCTGTCCGAATCGCCGGCAAGGACCTCGTTAAAGAAATCGCACCGTCCCTGGTTAACATTTTCAATCTTCACCGCGCTCCATCCTTCTTTGCTCACTGACTCAGCTTCGGGCGGTGGACTGGTCTGATTTTTCTCCGTGATTTGCGGGAACATGGTAGAGAGACACGGAGACGAACACTGGTATTGCTTGGTAGGGTCTTTTGGTTCTTAGTCAGCCGTTCTTTTTTTTTTTCGTTGAAGATGAGGTTGTAGAAGAGGGTTGTAGAAGGACTGTATTCTTCTGTGCATCGTGATGGGTTTGATGTATTTCATTTTGCGAATTCGAGTCGCTAGGTTACGTGACTGTAATAGTAGCGACATCTGTGTGCAGTGTGGTGTCAACTGTATACAGGATCTGTCTTAGGTCCCAGCTGAGCTCGCTACCGTACATATCTGTCGAGTTTCTTTCGCCACGTGGTTTCGTAGTTATTATCGAAAAAGTGGGAAGAATAAAATTCGCAAAATTTGGAAAATCAGGTTTGTCATTTACCTTTCCGATTCTGGGGAACCTCTCTGTCCTAGATCTAAAAGCAGCGTGGTACACGTTGCTCCTCTGTTCTTCCATTTCTTCCTCCGAACATTCGGATTCGTAATCTCCCTCTTTGTACATGGAAATTTCATCGAGGTACACTTCAGGCTGCACTGGCCTCGTACAGGTGTACCTGTATCGCTCCTGTGACTCGTAAGCCAAGTTACCGACGTTCAAATGGTAATCGCTGGGGCCTGCAAGAGAAACGTGCCTCCTGGATAATGTACCAGCAATCCTATTCCATATTTCAGACTCAAACACACGGTAGAAAAGAAGAATAATTGTTCAATAAAATTGTCAAATTGTTAGTCTCACCTGGTCCCGTGTCTTCGGAAACCTTTCTAAACCGACTAGCACAGGTACCAAAAGGTGCTTGGTAAATGGAGCCTGTACACTTCACCTGGACCCGGGGATCGTACATACCTGGGCCAGGTACGTCAGGTTGCGACCCGTAATCGAATCTCTGCAACGAAGTACGAATTTATCGTACACAAATTTTTACAAGTTGTCTCGAAGAACCATACCTTAGAAGTTTGCCCAAAAGGGACTGGTTCTAAAGCATACGGGTCGCACTTGCACGGGACACTGTGGTATTTATCGAAATTGCCTTTCACGTCGTAGCTATTGGGAGCTGGAAAATTCTATAAACGAAGATTCACTTTGAGCGTTACGAATTAGCTACTTCAGGGAACATGTTTCGAGGCTCAGTTACTTCGCGCATTTTTTTCCTGTACAACGTGTCAAGGAAACGAGGCTGCCAGGATGACATCCTCTTCGCTTCTCTCACTGTCTCGTCGTGCACCTGAGTGGCTGTCATCTTCGTTTCGTGTTCGTAATCTCCAGGGCCTGGAGTCAAGAAAGGTCTCGGCTCGGTTCTTCCTGTCATCCTGCTCCAAAAGTTACCTTTGTACATCAACGTCGTGGTATTTGTCTCCTAGAAATTGTTCGCGTTTCATTCTCAACCCGTATTTTTCTTCCTCCTTTTTACTTTTCTTTGCGCCGTTTTGTTTTTTAAGAAGGAACATTTACTTCTCTGGGGACGTTGTACAGAAAAGTTGACCTCTTTCTAACTGGCAGCGTTTTTACTAGACTGCCGTATTCGTTGACGGTATATCCTGGGTAATTTTTGTCAGGGACGGATGTGGGAGTGGGAATGATCGAACGAGGGGGTCGAGTTAGCCATAGCTATGATTCATTGTCAAAATGAAAGGAACGGTGTCAAAATATTGATAAAAAATGTGTACGTCTACAAGATATACTTATAAATAGACACCTTTCCAGCAGGACCTCTCCAGGTACCTGGATGAGATCTTATTTTTTGTGGTTTAAGTAAATCGGTGGCCACGTCATAGTCTACCGGGCCTGGACCTTCGGGTATCTTATCCTTGAACCTGACTTCCGTAAAATCGATGCTGACGCCGCCCTGTAATTTCCGATTCTTTCAACACGAATATTTATCTAGAATCAGCGTCGAACGGCTTAATTTTAAGGAACTACTTTCTGGTATATGTCGTGCAGGTGCTTTTAAACGATACGTGGTGGGTCCTGGTAATCGCTCAGCATCTCTCTGTATAATAACAGTCTCCCTCTTGGTTCCGGAAAGAAATGGATAAAAATCGGCTACGAGAATAATTATATATATTTTAACGTCTCGAGGTGTTAAATATTGTATTTAACTGTTTTACCGAGATGTCTTTTAGGTTGTGGCAACTCCGATACGTCGTACGTTCCTGGCCCAATTGTGGGCGGTGTTTGGGTGATTAATTTCGGAAACCTTCTTGCCCTATCGTATGCCATATTTTTTTTTTTTTTAAACAATTTAAAATAAAATAAATGCAGCAATGGTTACATCGAAACTGTAACTTAATCAGTGCCAAAGGCAGTGCCGAAATACGCGTGAACTATGCCGAAGGTCGAGAAACGACGGTAGAATAGATCCAGCCAATCGACCAGTAGACGTTTATTCGTTATTCGAGTTGCATCATTGGCGAAATATTCGTATGAAAATAAGTGCATTCCTCGTGTTTGCGGGACCAACTGCTTTCGCTAATGAATCATCTTGGTGCAAGAAAAATTATTTGTTTGCAATAATTGTAACGGCCTACGTATTCGCGCCCGAAGGACGCTGTTTTCACTTCTTTAACCTACTTTTTTACAACGTTCGCCTTGCATAAATTTTCGGCCGGGTCAGTTAATAATTTCGTTCTCGTTACGCGAAACCCATTAACGTTTTGACGCCGAAGTAAGAGATTATCGTTTACATCAAATTGAAAATGATTCGCCGGGCACGATCGTAAGCAAAGTGAAGGGTTCTACGACAAGCCGAGTGTTTTGCAAGTGATATCGCGTTTATTGCGTCATTCGAGGAATGTTACGTATCCGAGATGGTAAAGAATTATCATTCTACGGTTAACTTCGATGTTCCCGAACGGTAATAGTTTCAGCAAATTGTATGCATCGATCGAATAAAGTATTTTACTCCGATGGGCTTTCTTGCAATAGAAAATTCATTTTTATACTTTTTTAAAGATAAAATTAATTGATTATTGTATCTCGTTGGAATACAAAATGGGATGATCCGCAGATAGTTAACGGACATTTTTCCTCTACGTTTCACGCAAGATGGCGCCACGTACATCGCATGAAATCGTGTTTGGTCGATAATTCCAGAGTTTTCTGACAAAACGTGGTGTGCGAAGAAAGTTGCATTGTATTTAGCGTCAGTGTGAAACATTTAGTGGTTTATTCGGTATTTCGTAGGAAATTTGTCACGAAACCTGAAGAATAATGACAAACAACGAAGAAAAATTCGACGGAATGTTGCTGGCTATGGCGCAGCAACTGGAAGGCGGTATACAAGATGTGAGTGTCGTTTCGTTACCGGTTAGGTTAGGTTTCACTCGTAGCAACTGCATTATTTGCTAAGTAATTCGAAAACTATTTACGAAATATCGTTTACATTGCAGCTTCTTGACACATTCTTCAGTTTCCTCGCGAGAAAAACTGATTTTTACACGGGGGGCGGGGAAGGAGCAGCAGAAAAGGTAATTATCTTTTGTGTATTACTTGTGCAATCTTGTGTCATATAAATGATTCCATTATCTCATCATGGTAATTTATATTGCTACGTTTATACTTGATTGCAGCTTGTCACTAGCAAGTTCAAGAAATACCAAGCTACTGCTGTTGCTAAAGCAGCTATTGATAAGGCTGAACGTGCAGAACAGGAGAGACGTCGTATAGAGAGGTTAGAAATGAAGAAGAAAGAAGAAAATGCTAAAGATATATTTAATTTGGATTCAAAGATTGTTGAATTAACCGATGATCAGGCTGCTACGTTACAAGAGGAAATAGATAGTAAAGTACGTATAATAATGTTTACATCATAATTATCGTAGATAAAATTGTAATGACATTTTACTTAATTACCCTCTGTTTGCCTTTTTGTTACAGAAATTGGCAAAAGAGTCACCTGCTGTTCCTGGCCCAAGTGGAAGTAACACAACTGCTGATACAAAAGAGGAAAACATGGACGACGATGAAGAAGACGAAAAGGATAAGAACAAACTTAGGCCTAACAGTGGAAACGGCGCAGATCTACCAAACTACAAATGGTCACAGGCACTTTACGACTTGGAGGTAAGTAACATCGATGTTTTTCTTTGCATGAAAATGGCAAAATATTTATCCACAAACATAACAAAAGTTTGTATCTTTAAGAGAATTTTATTTTTGAAACTTTATAACGTATTATGTAAAAGCCAATAGTAAGATGATTTCTGATATTTAAATAGCTATTGCATCTATGCTCTAGTGGAATCATAAAATTCAAAGTACTCTATTTATCTTATATTTTACTTTATCGCGTTTAGATTGATTTTCTGCGAATATCTAAACGGTACTAGTCCAAAAATATTTAGTCTATATAGTTATCTATATATTTTGTTGACCTTTGAAGCAAGTTTCTTTTCGTTCGTCACTCTTCGAAATATCTTTTGCACGCCTTATAATGAAAGGGAGAAAAGCAAACGGTACATTGCCATATGTATTAATCTTATCAGGAGAGAGGGGATGGAGAGAGGGGAAATAAAATAACATTCGTATTTTCTTCATGGTTCGACAGTTTCTTGTTGAATCGACGATTAATTAATACGCAAGTAATATCACAGTTGCGAGTCAGCGATCGACACGATCGCTGCTCATTGCTTTTCCGTACATTCCCTGGAACTCGACACCCTGGCATGCGGAATCCAGGTTTGATTCAAGCGTTCTTTCTGTTAGTAACAATTAAATAACGACCCCTAAAATTAACACATATCCGCCTATCTTACTCCCGTTTCGTCGATTGCCCCGAACTGTCCGTCAACGTTAATCGAAGAAATACTTGTGCGTATCGACTTACGAAATGTTTCGCTGGACGACGACAACTTTCCTCAAACGCATTTGTCTGATTACAATCGAGTAGTTGTTGCCTTTAATTCGAATTAAATTTAAATCGAAAATTTCTATTCAAATCATTTCGATTTATATTTAATTTAAATTAACGATATCTGGAAATTTATTCGAAGCTCGGAGGACCAAGCTCCAGCAGTGATACAAACGAAATTACACTAGTCGTCTGTGTATCGTAATCTATGCATCGTGTCGTCGTCTGACCTTAAACATTAGAAAAAAAAAGGAGAAAAAAAAAAGGAAAGAAAATATGGGTAGAAGTAAATATTCTACGATACTCATCAAATTTCGAAGAACGCGAGTCAGTCCCCTCGCGAGATAATCGAGTGGCCCAACGGTTTAGGATCGCGTTCGTGCTATCTATACGATCTTACCTAAAGCTAGCTTATTACATGAATGTAATTACTGAGTTTTCACGTACCGCACGCGAAACACGGTGCAATACAGCCTTTGAAACTTTGTTTCTGATCGAGAACGTCTAATCGAGTCGCTCTAACATACTAAGTGATAATATACATGTACATTATAAATACGAATGATTTCGTCGACAGTGATCGAGAACCCTAACATCAATCGCTTGGCAAAAATTCATTCGCTTCGGGGTCCTATTCGTTTCTCGTTGCTCGTGCGCTCCTCTGTCTCTTCTGTTCGGGTGAACTTGCAGAGGACAATCCACGATCACTCGACAAGCTCAACTCTCGCCGGCCTAGTGGTACTTGTCGCGAATTCTCACTGTAATCAGAAGCAAAAAGCACCGGAGACTGGTGGAGACTAGATTCAAAGGCACTCGACGTAAGCAACATCGCGGAGTAGACCAAGGGGCTTTTGATTCGATCAAACTCGCCACAGGAGATATACTTACTTTCCATGTAGAGAATCCCGAGAAGCAGGCCGACCATGAATAGGAAAGTCATCGTACAGACGAGCACTGTGAGCTGATTTCTCGCGCAGTAGGACTTCCTGTAGACGGTCGTCGGTCTGCCCAGGCCGTTCACCACTGTGAAGTGGGTGCTGCTCGCCACTGATGCGGTGTCCATCTGTTTCGGCGTTGTCACCGTGGGTGGATGAATAGCAGCGAGATTGGCCAGGTTCGCGGCTGTCAAGAGTAATGTGCCCGACGCGGCACTCTGCAACACGAGATCGTAATTCGCTCATCTATCAGTTGTGAACGGTTCGCTCGAAATTTCTTCGCTAATTCCATCTTGTGTAACTACCGTTGCTTCTGACTGAATCTATTAATTATAATCATGAAACTTCAGAGTTCTTCTGGGATCAGTGAAACCTCGAATCTAAATTTGGCAATTGGCTACTTAGTCTTCTCGAAGATATCTCTGGACTCTCTCCGAGGTATCACCCTGTCGTTTACGTTATCTTGGAAGCTACGCAATCTCTTCTCGCTTACGTGTGTACTGGCGGTGGATCCCTGCGACGAGGTGGATCCTCTGGATGGCGAGTTCGGGTGCAGATGATGAGCCCAGCTACCATTCTCGCTGTTCCTCTCGCTTCGTCCCACCAATGACGGCCTTGGGATGTGCCAGGAAAGCGGGCTGCCCGCTACTGCCGTCGTAGCCGCCGTCGCCTCGATCTGAAAGCAACGTAAATCGACGTGAGGTTTTGATTGCATAAGCGATAATGTCGCGCCGATTACGCTTCTGCTTCGCCCGCATGTCCTCCACCTGCAACCGTGCGTTGTTTATCTGTCGGCAGGGGAGCATTACTCTATATGTAGCTACACGTTATCTGCGTTTCATCTGCTCGGCCAGCAGGCACGTTGGTCCGATTGACCAATCAGCAGATTAAATAGCCGTTCAAAGTGGCGTATCTCGGGCAAACGTTCTCCGCAAATGTCACTCGTTAACCGATACAGTTTTCTCCCCACGGCCACGTAATCCCTGCGTCGATATTAATTAACCGACGAAACAATCGGTGCCCTCGGATGACAGACATTCGCGTCGGCATTGTGCACCTCTCGCGGTTCTTCGCGCTCTCGTCATAAACAAACTTTACATACCGACCGACGTCGTTTTCGAAAGAGTGCCGCAACGCCTCATTGTTCTCGCT